AAAAAAAAAAAAAAATTAAAAGCCCTGTCAGGGGTTGGTGGCACACACCTTTAATCCCAGCACTCCAAAGGCAGAGCCGGGTAGATTTTTGAGTTTGAGGCCAGCCTGGTTTACAGAGCGGGTTCCAGGATAGCCAGGGCTACACAGATAAACCTGTCTCGAAAAACCAAAAAAAAAAGAAAAAAAAGAAAAAAGTTAAAGCCCCAAATCAAAGAAAACATAGAAAGACAACTCTTGTTTTGTTTTCTGAGGCAGGGTCTTACTATGTAGACCAGGCTGGCTTTGAACTCTCAAGAGATATGACTGCTTCCTGCCGTCTGAGTACCGGGATTGAAGTTGTGTATTCCACTACTTGGGACCCTGGAAAGAAATCTTTCGTTCATTGCTGCGTCCTACTTGGTCCTGGGACACTGATTGGGGGTGGCCAGGGAATGAAGAAAGGACAGAGACACAGACACGCCTAGGGGAAAGCTGGGATCTGGTGGGGTGTGTGGCACTCTGATGGAGCCGCATCTACTACTTCCTTAATCAGTCCATGTGATGTGCACAGCACCCAGGAGAAGAGTCTGCCTCAGCAGGAGGTCTCTGTAGGGGAGCAGTCTCAGGCTCTAAGCATCCTGGAGGAGGAAGTTGCTGTTACTTGGTTTCTTATGCACGGATGGATGGGTCCTGGATCTCGGAGGAGAGCTCCGCCACTCCAATGGAGCTGAGGCCTTGGTGGTTGCCATGGCTGTGCCCATGTCAATAACACACATCCACTCAGTGCTTCACTCACTCGGGGCTTCCTCTGCTCCCTACAGTTCAGGCTGTGAATGCAGCTCAGTACTAGAGTACTAGCATGCACAAGACCCTTAGTTCAATCTTCAGCACCAGAATTTTAAAAGAGCAATAATTTCAACATAAATTATGGGGGACACACAAGCATTCAGATCAGAGCAACCCCCACACAACACTTAAAATAAATAAATCAAAATGAGCCTATCAAAATCTTTGTCTCAGAGTTTCTGTTGCTGCGACGAAACACTCATTGACCAAAAAAGCGAGTTGGGGAGGAAAGGGTTGATTTGGCTTACACTTCCATGTCACTGTTCATCACTGAAGGGAGTCAGGACAGGAACTCAAGCAGGGCAGGAACTCTAGCTGAGGCGCCTTCCTCCCTGATGAGTCTTGCTTGTGTCAAATGGACACACATAACCAGACAGTAAAACCCTTATGGCCCCTTTTCCCCTAGAAGTGAAAAGCCAATCCTAAAGTTTGTATGGAATTCAAGGCACCTCAAATCGAACAATCTTTTAAAAAGATCAAAGTCAGAGGACTCCCGTGTTCAGTTTTTAAACCCACCACAAAGCTACAGCGATCAAAACTGTGTAGGGCCTGGCGTAGCTGCCGTCCACAAGCATTCGGTGACTGATCTCAGTGTTCTGTTGCTTCGGGCCTTTTCATCTGAAGGACGGTTTCTAGAGTAGAGCCTGTTTAATTTAACAAAGACAGTAAATACCAACAATGAACATTTGGCTTCGTGTGACACCGAGGGGAACCCCAGGGGCCAAGATGAATCCTGCAATTTTTCCCTCTGAAAAGTTATTGGGGGCAGTAAGGAAGGGGAAGTCAAAAGCCTCCACATGCCTTAAGAATCTTAAAATCAACCTCAGTCCTCTCTCTAGTTAAAGTAAAACATAAGGTTGAATGCCGAAACATTAACTTCAGGACTGATAGGACAGACTAGGACTTCTGACCTGGAAGACCAGAACAGACCACCCTCAGAGGCAGGGTCTCTGGAGGGAAAGACAGAAAAAGCAGAACAGAAAAAGCCAGGCAGAGCCTGTTACTCCGCCTTCCCAAGGGCAGAAAGGGGCTGAGTCTAGTCTGTCAAGGCCAGGAAGAGGGAAAGATGAGCCCCTCCTCCTAAACTAAAAAGCCTTACTGTGTCGTCTCTGATATTTCTGCCAAGTCTACAACTGTAGGATTCTATAAATCTTGAGGCCCATAGTAAATCATCTAAGAGCTGATAGTATCTGACGTAGAAAGGAAATTAAAACTCTTTTGCACCTAGCTCTAAAACTGCTTTTGCGAATGACAGGCTGTTGTGACTTGAATTACAATGTTGTTTTGGGGGTTGACTTTATGAAAATCTTTAGGAACTTTGAAATTTTCATAAAATTCTTCCCACTGACTTTGAGCATCTCTTTAAAGTCTTAATTTATAACCCGGAATAAACAGAATCTAGCCATGAAGCGCCTTCCACCTGGGATTTGGGCAATCAGATCCAGACCCGGACAGCGTGGAAACGGGCATCCTCCTGACCATTCAGGATCCAGAATTGCATGCCCACTGGGTTCTCTCCTGGCCCCAGTGAGTCCAGAGCTCTGGCTCTGGCTCCTTGCGCTTGACTTTGAGGTGTGTCATAAGGGGGAAAGGCCACAACACTCTGCGCATGCTCCCAAGCACTTCAGACATTCCAGAACCGCCTCGTCACGAAATTCCACAGAAACATTTGTTCCCAGATCAGCTCAGGTATGCCCTGTAGGTCTCAAGCTTAAAGCCTCTCCTGCCAATTCCTCCCTGGGCTTTCGGCCTCCTAGCCTTGTACTTTATCATATAGAAAAATGCATTCGACTCACTGGAAAGTCATGTTCCCGAGAGTGCGCGTGTGGATAGAAAGATTAGAGAACAGTTTGTGTTCGGGTTTGTGGCTCTGGTCATAGCGTGCCTCCCTGCCTCTCAAGCTGCCCATTTCAATTCAAATTAATCAGTGCCTCCAGGTCGTCCATGCCAACATGCCAGCGGAAGCGCGGCTGCCCTCCATCCATCACTGCCTGGCTTATCCAAGTTCCAGGTCAGTATTCCCTGATTACATTCCATGGCCCCGTTGTGCTTCCAGCTGCTGCTTCTAGCCATTCATCACACAATTGTTGCTGTTAGCTGTCTTTCTCACATGACGAGTCATGCAAAGTATGCCAGAGAGGAATGCCACGGGGGCTGGCTGCACGCCAGGCTGCTGCCCAGGATTCGTAAGTGACCTTACATGTCATAGGTGGAGGCCACCGACAGAAAATGATCTGCGCTGGAATTATGTGCGGTACTCAAGTCAGGCTCTCTCTCTGGGAAGTTAGAAAGCATCGTTGATTCCTGTTGTGAGCTGTGGTGTGGCAACCCACAGGCTCCTGAGTCACGGGTCAGGAGCTGCTGCACGCTTGAGAAATTACTGTAGCTTTGTTCAATTATAAATGTATAAACCATTGAAGGCTGAAGGAGTTAAAAAATCAAGCAATTAGAACGAATTTCGGCTCTCTCTGCTTACTGTGATTGGGCTGAACCCTCTGGTCATTTATTTATTCTTCAATCAATATTTACTGAGTGGTTCAGGCAATGCAGACAGAGGTCTATTTTCTTTACCGTAAGCCTGGTCATGGTCATCTAGTAACTCCTTCGCCTTCAGGGCTGGGTTGCTGTGGAAACAGTTTGACTCGGACACTACCCCCACCACCATCCCCACCATCCCTTACCCCTCCCACACACACAGAAAAGAAACCATGGACCTGTGTATCTAGGCAGGTAGCTCTCTAGATGACCTTTTTGACATCTCTCCTCCAGAGTGGCAGAGAAAAGCACAGAGACATGGGAGACACACTGTCACTTGACCAGAGGTCTCCTCGTCCTCCAATCCCTTTCTCCCAGGAGCTTTGAGTACTCCCGGGCAAGAGAGGAGGTTAGGAGGAGGAGGAGAAGGAAGATGTACAGACAGGTGTAGTGGTCTGATCATGGCCGAGCTTCGCTTTCTAGCCAATGTGGTAAAGTGAAGGTTCAAAATAGAAGGAAGTGGATTCAGAGAAAAATGACTTAGGGTAAAGCATGTGGAATTGCTGATTGTTTGATAGTTTTTGGCTTATAAATATATCCAGTTCCTGGGTTTAACCTGTAAACCATATGATATTTCTTGCACTCCTATCCCAGTTTATAGAGAAAAGAATTCAGTTCTCACACTTCCCTTACATTTCTTATTGTCTTAGAAAAGATCACTCAAGAAATCATCAAAGAAAAACAAGATCTTCATGAAAAGAATCTAACTTTTAAATTAAAAAGAGAAAAACATAGAAGTATGAGGGGGACGTTTTGGTAAGAAGGTGCTCAGAGGGAGGGAAAGGCTATAAGAAAGTGTAGAAAAGCCCAGCAGTGGCAGCACACACCTTTAATCCCAGCACTCAGGAGGCAGAAGCAAGTGGATCTTTAAGTTCAAGGCCAGCCTGGTCTACAGAGTGAGATCCAGGAGAGCCAGGACTACACAGAGAAACCCTGTCTGGAAAAATCAATCAATCAAACAAACAAACAAACATACAAATAAATAAATAAAGTGTAACAAGAGGGAAAATGAAAAAGTACATGTATTTATTAAATTTGCAAAATAATAAATCAATCAAAATTTAAAAAGTGAAAGTAAACTGTACCAGGCTTTTTCTTTTGAGCCACCAACCAGCTCCCAAGTCATGACATGGAGACTGCTTATGAGTTATGAACGCTTGGTCTAGCTTAGCTCTTTCTGACTAGCTCTTTTAACTTAACCTGTTTCTCTTCATCTACCTTTTACCTCGGGGCTTCTTACTTTTCTTGCTTTCACTGCTTCTCATGTCTGTCTGTCTGGCAACAGCTGCCTGGCTTCTTGCCCTGGGCATCCCCCTCATTCTCTCCTCCTCCTTCCTCTCCTTCCTAAATTTCTCCTCCTATTTACTCCCTCAGTCTGGCAGCCCCACCTATCCTCTCCTGCCTAGCTATTGGCCATTCAGCTTTTTATTAGACCAATCAGGCGCCTTAGGCAGGCAAAGTGAAACAGATGAAACACATCTTTACATAGTTAAACACACGTCCTTTACATCCTTAAACAGATGCAGCATAAACAAAAGTAACACACCTCTACACAGCTAAAGTAATATTCTGCAGCATAAGCAAATGTAACACATCTTTACCCAGTTAAAATAATATTCCACAGCAACAAACCTAGCAAACTGGCTCCTTCTCTGAGCCATGGTTGATGTGTCGGGGCTCAGTTCACACTGGAAGGCTACTCAGTTCTCTAGTTTGTCAGCTGATTAAGTTGTATTGCCCTTGTGTAGTCCCTGGGTAGATTTCACTCCTTCACAAAATGTTTGTTTAAAATCCCATAAATATTTGGGGGTCTCTAGAATGTTTCAAGGGTTCAAGTAAATGGCAGAGTAAATGCTTCACTACTTTTTTTTCCTCCTTGTAGATTTTTTGGTACATTCTCATCTAGTTGGATCCAGAGTGTGGATTATACTCTCTCCTGCCAAACAGGGTTTCTCCATGTAGCCCCAGCTCTCCTGGAACTCGTTCTGTAGGCCATGCCTGGTCTACAGAGCGAGTTCCAGGAAAGGCGCAAAACTACACAGAGAAACCCTATCTTGAAAAAAAAAATTGTATATCAGTGTTTTGTTTGCATGTACATCTGTGCACCACATGTGTGCCTGGTATTCCCAGAGGCCAGAAGAGGGCATCAGATCCCATGGAACTGAAGTTACATGTGGTTGTGATCCACCATAAGGGTGCTCAGATTAAAATCTGGGTCCTCTGGAAAGCAGTAAGTGCTGTCAACTGTTCACCCATCTATCTACCCCCTTGGATTATATCTTCTTTAATAAGGGTGATGCTCTGTAGCAGGCTTTCTTTTGGCTACCAACCAAAATCATGACACAGAGACTTATTAGTTATGAATGCTCAACCTCATCTCATGCTTGTCCCACTAGCTCTTATAACTTAATTTAAGCTGTTTCTCTTCATCTACATTTTGCCTTGGAACATTTTATCTTTCTTTCATTTTGTGTGTCCTACTCCAAGCCTGTCTGGCTGGTGGTTGGCTGACTGGCTGGCCCCGAGCATCTCCCTCTGTTTCTCCCTTGTTCTCTTCTCCTAGCCTAGATTCTTCCTCCTATTTATTCTCTCTGCCCGCCAGCCCTGCCTATCTCTCCTCTGCCTAGCTATTGGCTGTTCAGCTTTTTATTAGACCAGTCAGGTGCCTTAGGCAGGCAAGGTAAAACATCAACACATCTTTCCATAATTAAACAAATGCAGCATAAACACATGTAACACAAATTTACATAGTTAAAGTAATATTCCACAACAGCACTCTATGAAACCAAAAGTCTAGACAGTTCCTCTAAAATGTCATATGTATATTGCAGGGTTTTAAAACAAGATACTCAATGTCCTAGCAAATTCTCTACCTATGACTTTTCAATATAGATTAGCATTTATGCACAAAGGCTGCATTAGTCAGAACACAGCTGGCCCTTATCCTGGATGATTCAAGTGAATTACTTTCCAAAAATGGAAAGGAGTTGTAGGGAGAACACAGACTGGTACCCAGGGCTTCCACCAACAGCAACAGAGTGGTCACATCCCTTCCTTTGATCCAAAAGAAAAGGACCCGGAGGGCTCAATTCGAGGCCCAATGATAGAACTTGTCTGGTTGTATGAAGCCTAGGTTCCATCTTCATCACCACCAAAAAGAAAAATGATAGGACAAGAATGGGTTCTGAGGACGAGGAAAAGAGGACTTTGCTGAGGAGGTCACCTTGAGCACAGGACCATAGCCAGTGAGGAGGGACTAATACTTTGAGGAGGTCACCTTGAGCACAGGACCATAGCCAGTGAGGAGGGACTAATACTTTGAGGAGGTCACCTTGAGCACAGGACCATAGCCAGTGAGGAGGGACTAATACTTTGGCTTCACCCCAGTCCTTCCCTGTCATCTGCTGCCTGGGACCATGTAGCACCAATTTCTAAATGGTCTTAATAAGAAACCCAGAACCAGCTATTGGGGTAAACACTGAAAGATCAGAGACAAAGGAACAAGCCATCTCTTATCTCTAGGACTCCTCAGCCTGAAAAGCCTGTCTCTTCATGCCTTACATACCTTTCTCTGACCAGCCATCAGTTTCTTAAAGGTGAGTGTGCTTTCCAAGCAAAGGCATGAGATCTCAAATGCTGGGATTAAAGGTGTGTGCCATCACTGCCTGGCTCTGTTCCTCTCCTAGACTGAGTCAATATCATGTAGTCTAGTGTGGCTTTGAACTCACAGAGATCCAGACAGCTCTCTACCTCCCGAGTGCTAGGATTAAAAGTGTGTGCTACCACTGCCTGGCCTCTATGTTTAATCTAGTGGCTTGTACTGTTCTCTGATCTTCAGGCAAATTTTATTAGGGTACACAATATATCACCACATTTCCCCCTTTTTGCCTAAAATGATAAAAGGTTATAACTAATATAAGAAAAACTATATACAATAAGTACAATAAGTATGTATAATATATACAGTCAAGAATTACATTAACAATGTCCAGTCTATAAACATTTGACAAGTTCAGAGAAAATACTCCATTATTTATCCTATTTTGGTGAGTCCAAAGTGAAGTACCTAATTCACTTTCTATCCTAACTTGTATTACCAACAAAAACTAATGTTTGATGTCTTTCAAACTTATACACTTTACACCTCTTTAGTGAGTTTCTTTTCTGAATTTGTTAACAAGGAAAATTATAACCATTGCTATCTAATCTTCAACTCATTCAGAGACCCAAGAAGGAAATAACATTTACTGAGTAAGCAGGAAGTGCAAATAAGCAACTTCTAAAAACTGTGAGAAATGACAGAAACAGCTGGCTGCCTGGATAGTCACCCAAGGTTCCTATGCAACATTGGGGCATCCATCTTCGGCTCATCTGTAAAGGAGAATTTTCTAAAGGGCCTTCCTACCTTGTCTGGGCAAGGATTGGCACTCCTTTCTTTTGTGTCCTGCTTGTCCATTTTGGACAGCATATTGTCAG